GAGCTTTTCGGACGCTTGGAGTGTTTGTGAAGAGTCTCAAGCCTGTTTGCTTTCGCCAGAGCTACAGCGTGATGCCTAAGAGGCATCAGGAGCCAGTTCTAGTGTTTAGAGAGCTGAAGCCCAAGTTCGCTGTTAGTGCTCACGAGCTGTGAAGTGTTTGAAATCCAGAGAGCTGTGTACTGAAGCCTCAAGCCGTGCCGGGCTTGGCTCAAGACTCGGACTGCTGAAGAACAGCAGAGTGAAAAGTGTGGAGCGTGCCCGCTCTGTCTGAGTGCTGTGTGTGAGAGGCCCAGAGGCCCCGAAGGTTCCCTAGAGGTCCCTCGGAAACTAACGTGCCGGGAGCCTTCTATCTCTATGACATCGCCTCTGACACGGTCAACACCAAGCTGCTTGGGAGGCTACAGCGTTATGTGTCGTCGCACATACGCTTTTCCTGCCCTGAAGCGGCCCTGCTACCGCCTGTGGCTACCACGGGCCTTCCACGCACCCTATATGATCCGGTGGGAGCAGTACGCCCGGACCCTGACACCGGAGTGCCTGCCAAAGAGGATCCGACGCTGACCGCCGAGCTGCGCAGTCAAAGCTGTGCTGTCTCCCTTCCGGTTGCACCTACCGCCACATGGACCCAACGTGTGGCGGATCTTTTGGAGGCGGTCGAAACTCCGCCTCGTCGCCTTGTGCCAGGAGTTACTTCAATTGCCAGCCGGTGAGCTCAGCAGCCGGTCGATGGAATACACTGCGCCGGGGCGCTACAGCATTTACTCCCCAGCTCTACGGATTGCCTTACCCTGCTTTCCCTCCCCTTGTCGCTGCCCGCCTGTGAAGTCAAGCTCAGCCCTCAGAATTTTGGGGTGAAGGTTGTTGATTTTGCTGACCGGGCACTCATGCTACGGCGCTGCACTGATGACGAAGCATTTCGCGTATGCTTGACACCCATGCTGGCAGTGTCCGTTGCACTAGCACAGTTCTGTGATCCAGTTCTACGCCTGCCTAAAGGACAGGTTTTCGACCTTTCCTGGTATGAACTTGCCCGTCCTGAAATTTGGTGGTGGCTGCTCCTTGATGAACTCGCGGGACTTAAGGGCTCGCTCCCCCGGGCTCTCGAAGGGCGGAAGTCCCCCGTCCGGGATGGCAGCCTGGTGCAGATGTCCTTGGCTCCCAAGCGTGACCCCAATGCCAAACCAGATCCACTGCCAGCAAATAGCCGACGGGGCGCTGGTTCTAGCCAACGGCGTAACGTCGGGGGAGGCAGCACGAGTGCTGAGGTGACACAGGGCACACCATTACTACATTGCGGCGTGCTGCTGCCCGTGCAGCTGTTATTCTTCCTCACCCGAGCACTAGCCGACGATCCTTCGGCCGCCCCACTTCTGCAGCTCACCAACGTTACCCCATCCCGAGACGGCCAACATATTGAGGTGCGGGTTACATGCAAGGTTCCAGCTGACTTGGTAGGCCGTCCTCAGATTGCCATTGCGGACCGATTGATGGCGGGTTTTGAGAACGGACTCCTTCCGGCCAGACGCGGTGAGTTTGAACCGCGCATGTTCACGTTATATCCTGGCTCCTATCGCGGCACCTTTCGACTGCTCTTCCCCCTTGCGGATATCCCGCTAGGGTTACAAGCTCAGCCGTCGCTTGCGATTCAAGCTGCCGGGTTACTGCACAGCGCCCTGTGGCGTCTTCGCGCCGCGGCCACCTCCGGAGGCTGGGATCTCCGCGCGGTTGTCGCCTACTGGATTCGTGGGCCGCAAAAGAAGAAATTTTACTTTCCGACCCGCCTGTGGCGCTATTCGCACTTCGACGCAGTGGAGGCCAAAGCGATGGCCCTCCTTCAAAGGTTGGTCGCCCAGGAGGAGGGACGAGCACAGCCACCACCGGATGGCACCCGTCCCTGGATCAGGCTGGGGCACCCGCAGGCACAGGACCGCTGGAAGGCTGCGGCGGATGAATTCCTCAGAGCAGGGGGCCTCGGACCCGGCCTCCAACTTCCCTGCATATCCACGGAACTGATGCCATACCTTCATTGTGAGGACCACGACAACCACCAATACTCCTACTCACACTTGAAGGAAATGTACACCGAAGGGAACTATCAAATGCTCTATCTCCTGAAGGAGAGTCACTTCCCCTCGAGTGGCCGTGACATGCAACGCTTACTCGACAGCTGGCCGCACTAGGCAGCGACCGGCTCCACTAGGTGACCTCCGCTCTATGCGACCTGGGACCGACGACATACGTCGTTGTGTCGATATTCTGGAAGGTGAGAGAGCTACATAGCCCTGAGTAACATTGCGTCTCACGAGACGGGCAGGTGGTATCCCTCCGCCCTGCATCCACTGATCGATCAGGCCGGCTCGGTGGCTCATTCTTCTGGCCCGCTGAGGGCCTCGATCTGATGGCACGCCGACCGACGACATACGTCGTTGAGGTCCGATCGCTACCTCTTGCGCACCAGGAGTTCATTTTCCACACCCTTGCCTGGTCACTTGCACGGTACCCTGACTTCATTGCGTCGTGTTGGGCTGCCAGCACGTCGACATACGTCGATGTCCGTTTTCTAATTTTCTAACCCCCGCACGGCCCTCTCTTCCTTGCTTCTTGCATGTGTGTGGAACGAGCGGCCGCCCAACGTCAATACTCGGGCTTCGACATGTTTCAGACTACCTTTTGGGACATCGACCCGGTCTTTGCCACATTCGCACTGTCCACTCCAGCGGGGCGCGAACTGCGTGGTCTTGAGGGACGCTTTGACGGGTATGAGCAAAACTCCCCCAGTTGACCCCGGGCGTGCCGCTGACGTCTCCCGCACGAGACAGGACTCTTGCCATGGATCAGGCTCTGTCTTGGGAGACCCGTTAACTTGGAACGTCCTGTGCGTTGCGCTGCCGGACTAACGCACACCAGGAGCTTCCCACGCTCTACTCCCTTGCCTGGTCTACCGGTGCGCGTAGTTTGGCGACAATGTCCGCCGGCAGCCACTCCACCACCGAATTTGCACACACCGTGGATCGTCTGTCTCGATCCTGGGTTACGGCCATTTCTGGCCGTTTTGAGTCGCAACGACTCGGGCACCGACAGCTCTGAAGCCCTTCTTCCCGGCGAATTGGACTTCTGGATTTTGGTGTGCTCGACCGTGACGAAACAAAGCGCAGGGGCTGCCCGTTGTCTGACGAGACTAGAACGGCGGCCGGAGCTTGGTCTTGGCTCCACCTGTTGCTTTGGGCAGCTCAGGGCGACGGCTCTTTGTTGCTTCTGACCGGTCGCTGAGGCTCCGTAGATGGGTTGAACGGCTAACACCGGTAAAGCCTGTGCGCCGCAGCCCTTGTAGAGCTTCGCCTTTGTCTCACCGCTTTGCAGTTTTTAGTTGCTTGTTTGTAGTCTGTTTGTTTGTAGGGACCGAGTGCTACAGCCGTAGTCGACGAGGCCCGTTCACGCCAAAAGCCTCGTTTGCTGTACATGGAACCCCGAATGTGATGAACACAGATGGGGCTATGAGCGATGGAGCCAAGCGCCTCAGAGATACATCATTTATCTTTGAGCAGCGGCTGGTCTTTTTCCAGACCCTGAGATGTCTTTTTCCAGACCACGCGTTTTTTCGATGACGCACTTTGATTTCTTTCGTTCGCTTTCAGCCCCGAAAAGCGATTTCGTGTTTCTTCTTTGTGTGTGTGTGTGAGAAGTTAAAGTATGGTTAAGTTAGGTTTTGTGCAGTTTGCGTTGCACAATTCATATTGTGGCGCTCTTTGCTGTGTTGTTTGATATGTCACGTGTGCGTGCTTCTATCTTTGTAGAGGTCAGAAAAAAGACATTAGAGGCCCAGAAAAATATCCACTGGGGTCCGCAAAAAGATACGGGGTCAGTTACGAGATATTTCGGGGCCGAGAAAAAGACGGCTTAAATCGTGGAGTGGAGGTCGAAAAAAAGATCGTAATCTTTTTCTAGACCTCGTCGCGGGGCTGAAGAAAAGATGGAGGTCGGAAAAAAGACATGCCGGGGCGAAGTCAAGATGGACCAAGCGCGGGGTCTGAAAAAAGATATTTCGGGGTCGAAAAAAAGAGCAGCCTTTTAAGCAGAACGACAACAATGACAGGATCCAAAAGCTTCGGGCAAAAGACAATGCAATGAATTCAATTATTGGCCGTGTCCGTCTCGTTGTCGTGGGTTTGTACCTAAAATTGTGTGTTAGAAACCCGTCCCACTGCTCAGGACGCGGTGATGCCGGGCTCGAATGGTTCATGAAGCTGCTCGCAGTGATCGAGTTGGATTTTCACAATCTCCAAAACAAACGAACTCGAAAGCAGATCATGTCTGCAATGGACAGGAGGTAATACCTTCTAAGAGAGACTGCGATCGTACGAACATGTTGTGTTTTGGCTTGCACTAAAGACATGTCGTGGCCGCAACCGTGCGACATACGACAGTTCTACCACACCGTTGTTGCCGCCCTCCCCATTGACTTTCGACGTGAACGACACATTGATCTAGACGGCAACGTCGACAGACATTCAGCTGCAATTTAACGTTGCCGAGTGCTAGTGTTTAGGCATGTGCCTGTTTCTGAATAGTTATTGCTGTTGGGCCCGGAAAACTTAAACGTGTGTTTGCTGTTGGGGTTTTTATCGTTTTTTTCGATATCTCAAATTGAGGTCTGGGTTGAAGTGAAAGTTTGGTTGCAATTGGACTAGTTGCCATTGCTTACATCTTTTTTTGCAATGGTGTATGCATGCCGACGTGACCGTAGCCGTTGTGCTCTGCAAAATTCGGAGTGGACTTCTGCCTGCTCGTTCCACCTTATAACCTTAAACCATAAACGCAATTTGTTGGAAAGACTTTTTGGGTCCATTTAGCCAATCTCTAGCGCTTCAAGCAAACATTTCTTGTTTGAGTTTTCGACATGGCCTCTCTAACTTTACTTAATTACGAAGTCGAGCGAGTTAAAGGGTCAAGCACGGTGCGCCAAACCAACTTGATTCTTTAAGGGTCCAGGGTGATCGTTGATGTACCAAGCCGTGCGCTGCTTCCCGATGGCAGCCTTTTCCGGTCCCTCGGCGACTCTCGTCGCCCAGCGCTCTGTGCGCTCGGCTTCCCGCCTTAGAGTTCTATATAAGTATGTATAGGGTTTTGGGCTCAGGGTGTACATACATTGTTTGTTTTTTCGTTGGTTTCAACAACGAATTCATGTTTTGTTACACAGCTCAGCGACAGAGAGAAGTTTGAGAAGCCAAAGGGGCGGACCACCGGGAAAGATTGTTACAGAATAGATAGCTTATACATGTGCGTGCCTTGGTGGTCTCGCTGCAGGTCGAGCGAATCAGTATATGTCAGCTGTAGCCAGTAGGGATATTGCATGATTCTTTTCTGCATATGAACGTTTGGTGTGAAGTGAACGTACGTTTTCCAAGGTCCTTATCATATGAATCCTGCCGTGTAGGGGCTGTATGAGTCTTGGATTTTCGAAAACTAGCATATACAAGGAAGCATCACTGGTGTTACTGTTCTTGTATTTGTTTGGGTGATTTCGTGTTTTGGCGGATCTTCGGACGTAAGGATTTGAGGATTGCTGTAAGGGGGTTGGGGGCACAAGCGGCTTGTGTGCATTACCCCCGCAAGCGCAAAGAGCCCGTATGTGCAAAAACTTCAAGCCTCTGCACCCAGCTTTGGACCACTTGGCGGCCGGCTGTCCCTTCTTTTCGGCAGCACTCAAGGAGCCATCACGGTTAAAGGGTTTTGGAGTTTAGGGCTTAGCGTTTGAGATTTTCAAGCCTCTGTCTGCGACCTCCGTTTTGAAACCTTAGACATCAGAACGTTTCCAGAGATCGTTCCAACAGTTTGTTTGATGTCTTTTTGCTATACATCTGCATAGGTCGGTATGTATGCATATGCATAAACATACATACAGCACATGTACATACAGGCATGCAGTACAAGCACGCATGCATACAAGCATACAGGCATACATACATACAAACAGCAAGTAATCATGCATACATATACGTGCATGCACATACATACGCATGCATATGAAACTACATATGCATAGACACATACTTATACATATACATATACTTATACTTGTATCTATACTTATACTTATTCTAAGACTTATTCGTACACATATACATGTACTTTATCAAATGTTTTGCTTATACTTGCAGTTACATATGTATGAATATGTATACATATATATATATATGTATACATGTGCATGTGTTTGTGCATGCGTATGTGTTTTCGTATGCGTATGTGTATGTGTATGTATATGTATGTATATGCACATGGATGTACGGAAATATGCATGTCCGTATATATGTTTATGTATCTGTATTTGCCTGTGCATATACATATACATATACCCTGGCATTAACATTTAGTTTTGCATACACATACACGTACACACGGACATACACACACACATACATACACACATGCAGAGTAGATATGCATATGCATACATAGCATATGCATATACATATACATTCGCGTATGCGTTTGCATGTACTAATATATACATATATAGATACGTTCATCTACATACACATGTACATGCACAGATACATGCGCACAAACTTACATACGTACATACATAGGTACATGTACATATACATTCTTGCACATGTGTATGTATGTACGTATGTTTGTATGTATGGACATGTGAATGCATGCATATGTCTGTGTGTATGTACGTATGTACGTATCTGTGTATGTCTATGTGTTTATGTATATGTCTATTTATCTATGTATCTATGTTTCTTAGTATCTATGTATGTATGCATGTATGTATGTGCGTATGTATGTTAAGTGTATGTGTATATGTATAAGTGTATGTGTACAATGCATACGTATATGCATATGCTTCTGTACATGTACATGTACATGTTTATGTATATGTATATGTATATGTTTGAGTATGTATGAGTCGGTACGTACGTGTATGCATGTGTCTGTATATGTGTATGAATGTGCATGTATGTGTGTGTATGTGTGCCTATGTATCCATGTACCTGGAACGCGAAGCAGGTATTGTTTTGGGACGGCTTGTGGCCCAGAGGCTGAAACCTCCAACTGCGTTTGCACATTAAAGCTGTGGATGTGTAGAATGCCGAAACGTCGACCACCCCAAACCACTCCGACTCAACCGCCAACCCCGATAGTGTTCATTGCCAGTGCAACCCCCCGACAGCCCTCGAACGCAACCCGAACCCCAGCGAAACTCTTAAACCCTAAACCGGAGACAGGAGCCCAAAAGTCCCAAAACTGTCCCATGTTTTGGGGTCGCAGGACCTCGCCATCGTCTGCTCTTCCTTCCAGCGGCAGCGCTGCAGCGGTCGCTGCGTACATCGGCTGCCGGCGGAAAGGCGCTCAGAGGGTGGGGCGACTTAGTGCCATTAAAATCCACTCACTTTGGGGTTGAGGTAGCTATTTATTAGGATCTATGCAACCTTCAACCTGATTCGTAGTACATCTTCCAACCCTTGACTCACCTCTTCTGCTCGGGATGCCACTCATGCATCGTCTGCACCACGCCGAGCCCTTGAGACTATCTTGTAAGGCTTCAGGCACTGGTTCTTGTCCACGGATGGTACAAGAAGGGACGTGGAAGCGTGGGAGCTGTCGTGCACCAGCAATAGGGGCATGTCCACTACTCACGAAGCAAGAAGCTCATGCAGTTCCGAGTTGGTTTTCGTTTTGGAAGACATGTTTGCGTTAGTTGCATTAACCCAAATCTCTGTTTTCGCCCCTTGCTGTGAATAAGGCGAAGCTGTCGAAGACAACATATGTTTATGTTCCTTTCAGTTTCCAATACCTTACAGGGTTCAAACATGCCCAAACGTCCCGGTCGAAGCCTAGAGCAGTGCTGAACAGGGCTGCTTTGATCACGCTGTGTGGTACCATAGCTTTCGTCCAGCACGTGGTCAACAAGATCAGGAAAACGCCAAACTCAACTTGGCAGCATGGTGTGTACACAGAGAGACCAATACCCGTTGAATGAGAAGGACAGCTTAAACCTGGAGGACGATGGCTCTATGAAGTACCATAGATCCCTTCAGCGGGAAGCCATATCATGCACCATATACCCCAATTATGGTAATGCCGATAAAAACCAGCCCTGTGAAAGGCAGTGGCCGAGAGTCATTCAGATCATTCAGAATCTGGAGTGGACATGTTGCTCGGGATGCACAGACAGGGACAAGTCCCATGTCGGTGGAGGCCATGGTCGAGCTTGCCCAGCAGGGTGCCTTCGACGGGGAGGCGGTGCGGAACCTCCGAGCCTTAAGCAGCGAAGCTCGGGAGGAGCTCTTGAAGGAGCTTTGGGAACCCGCGATGTCCCTTGGGGGTGGTGGGGGTGCCTGGGCTGTTCACGCTGCCTTTCTCGCCTCGGACCACAGGCGCCTTGCCCAGCTGGCGACCTCAGGTTCCCAGGCCGTGGGCGTGCGCGCTCTGACCGCGTTGCTGGGCTTCTATGGTAAAGAATTTGTTTTTTGTTATGGTAACTTGAACTAAATCCCTTAACAAGAACTCAGGTTGTTGAAGACAGATCCTGCAAGGCTCATCAGCCTTCTTGGCCTTCCTCAGGGCGGTAAAAGTGAGGGCAGCCCACTCAGTGCGGCGCGCCGGCGCGTGGCCCTGCGTGCGCTGGGGAGGCTGAGTCACAATGCCTTGCAGGGCCTTGTCAATGAAGAACTTCTCAGCGAACTTGTTTTGACGGACAGACCTTCGGCTGCACGGCTCCTGAAAGGAGCCAGCCCGGAGCTTATCGAACGCTGGTGGCCACGGCTGACGGTGCCGTCTAACACGGCCGCCGCCATTGCAGCACGGCTGCCGAAGCTGACCCTGAGCTTGATCGCGAACTCCCGGCAGAAGCAGTGGCGAGAGCATGAGCTCCGCGAGGTGGGTTTTCCTATCAACCCGAAAGCTTTCTTACAAGAACAACTCCAAAAATGCCCCAAGCTTTGCCCCTAAACCCTAAACCCTAAAAAAAGGTCCGTCAGCAGAGACAAAAAATATGGTGACTTGCAAACCGTAGCGACCAACTGCTCCCCGGTCCGCAGCCCGAAGCATCACAGAGCCACGCGAGACTAGGACGAAGTTGTCCCCCAACAATATGAAAGTTTCCGAAAACAGGGGAGCCTAATATATAGTACCCCAAACAGTATGATCCTTATGATAAGGACCCCAAAATAGGGTACCCCTAATTTTCGGAGACTCCCATATTTCTCAAAAACCCGAACCTTCAACGAGGAGAACTCTGGCATACTCCGTTCATCTTGCCTAACCCTATAATCCCGGAGCCCAAAAGCCCCATAAACCCCCTTCTAGATACCCTAGACATCTCCTTGAAGGAGCCCAAAACCCAAGACCTATACCTAATCCCAAATAGCCTACCTGCTGAAGGGTTTTTATAAGACAAAGCATACCGGGGAACCCTACAAGCAGGTTTCATTATAGTTCAGGTAAGCCCTAGGCCTAAATCCTAAACCTTGGTCCTTTGTAGGACCATGTAAAGGAACCCTAAACCCTGAACCCAAAAGAACCTTCCAAGGAAGCCTGAAAGGAGCCCCCAAAGGAACCCCAAACCTGCAAACCCTAAACCCAAAGGAATGCCGTAGAGATCCCTTTAATCCACCTGTTTTTAAAGGAACCCTGAAAGATCCCTTTAAAGGAACCCTCAGAGATCCTAAACCCTACACCCTAAATCCTAAACCGATCTTTTTTTCAAACAAAAATCAAAAAGCCGATCCTTTCAAACCAGAAAACTGATCCTTCTTTTATACGAAAAAACCGATCCCTTTAGCAAAACAAACAAAAAACCGTTCCCTTCAACAAAAAAAAGAACAAAAACACCGATCCCTTTAGGTGGTCGGGGTCTGTGCGGCTTCCACGCCGGCGGCTCTCGAGTTCCTGGAGCTGCTCGCAAAGCAGCCGGCGGCTTGCACGGAGGTGGCCCGGTTGGTACTCTTGTTAGTATTATTATCCAAAGAAATATTTATATTTTACAATATATTCTTTATAAATACTCTTTACCATTATTAAGTTACTAGTATTACTATTATTACTATTATGACTATTATTACTATTGTGACTATTGTTGCTCACGTTTAGGGGTTTAGGGGTTTAGGGATTTAGGGTTTTATGGGTTTAGGGTTTGGGGTTTAGGGTTTAGGGTTCAGGGATGCTTCTTCTTCTTCTTTTATTTGTGTCGTGTGTACTATTACCATTATACTTATCTGAGCTCTGCAGCTGTTCACAACTTCAGGCTTCAGGCCTGTAACCTTTCTGCGCGACCTTTTCCCTAAACGGCTGCAAGTCCTTAAACCCGACTCCGCTCTTTATGGACTTCCCTTTGCCCAGCTCGCTTACCCCAGATTCGAGGGCAATGCGCGTTGCATCGTGCATGTACGACGGGTCTGAGCGTAGAAGCAGTTGCGAATGCATTTACGCTGTGCACCTTTCCAGATATTGAAACCTTGACTTCAGCGGCATCCTGCGTTAACGCGGCGACGACGCAAGAAAGGGTGCAGATACGAGCGGCTCGCTGTACGGACCCTGAGAAAGATGAAAGTGTGTTAGCAGAAGATGAGTGGCTGCCTCTTCCATCACAAACGTCCCGACACTGCTGGTAGGATTGCACTTGTATCTAGACAAAGTGTGTGTGTGTGTGAGAGATGTTTGTGATACCGTGGAAACTTTCAACTTTGGTCCACCTCATGCGCCGACCTTCAACTAACTGATGGACGGGTCGAAAGCTCACTCGCAGTCGAAACCCTGAACCCAAAATCCCCTCAACCCTAAACCCCAAACCCAAAAGCCAGAAAAAAGAAACCAAGCAAGCCGCAGGTTGCCAAGGAGCAGCCGAATCTATTCTTGTGGCTCTTGCAAGGCCTTTGCAAGAAGGAACCCAAGGCTTCCGGGCTGCAAATAGGGTTTTTGTTTTAGGGTTTAGGGCTTAGGGGTTTAGGGGTTTGGGGTTTAGGGTTTAGTACTCCTTGAGCCTGAGCCCTCATTTCTCAATTCTCATTTCTCAGTTCTTGGCCTCAAGCCCTTAATCCAACAAACCTTGCACCCTTAAACCCTGTAAGCCGCTAAACCCTAAACTCTTTGACTTTTCCAAGGCTGGCCTAGAGGCGCTGGCGAAGATCCCCAGTCTTGGCCGTGCAGACCGGAAGCAGTGGGGGACGGTCTTGCGCCGGTGCGCTTGTGCCTTGGGTGCACACCCGGCCAGGCTTCGAGGTGAGAGGGATTCCAGGATTTAGGGGTTTCGGGTTTTAGGGTTTAGGGTTTTTTGGGTTCAGGCTTTTTGGGTTTAGGGTTTAGGGTTTTTTGGGTTCAGGCTTTTTGGGTTTAGGGTTTAGGGTTTTTGGGCGTAGGGTTTTAGGGTTCAGATCTGCATGCTTCGGGTTTGGGCAGTCGGGTTTAGGGTTTATTGGTTCTTGGATGAGGCAAGGCAGCCGATGTCCTAGGGTGCTTTAGGGGGTTCCTTACTATAGCTATAGTATAATCTAGCCCAAGACCTATTAAAACTTAACTATTCAGGCCCCTAAAAAAGAACCCTAAACCCTAAACCCTGAACCCCTAAACCCCTGAACCCCATTAAAGACCCCCTTAAAAGCGTGCCGAGAGATCCAAGGCCTGAGACCGGAAGATCCGGCGGGAGATTTGTGGCGACCGGCTCTTGAAGTGGCAATCAAGCTGATCGAAGAGGCAACTGAAGAATGGTTTTCTTTACGAGAAGCCGAAAGACCTTGTACAAATGAAGTCAAACGAAAACGGTTTTCTTTACTGGAAGCCGAAAGACCTTGTACAAATGAAATCTTCGTTGTGAAGTCCGAGCACTGGAACCCCCAGAAACCTTGCCCAGCCTTGCCAAGTCTTTTGGTTCTCAACCCGTCGGGAAACGTGTCGCTTTAGGTCGGCTCAGTGGTGCGATCGAAACTTCATCAGTTCTCATCGCAAATACTGGGGTATTATGAAAACCCACATGTGGCCCTCGACTGCTTTTAGGGCCGAAGTCGCGTCTTAGTCGCTTGTGGTTAGCTTTTGCGTGTGTCAAGAGTAGGTAGTAGTTGGAGGTTAGCAATTTGTAGTTAGTAGTTAGTACTCGGAGTTAGCAAATGGTAGTTGCTAAGTAGCAGCTAGTAATAGCTAGTAGTTAGAAGTAGGCAGTAACAAGTAGTAAGTCGCAAGTAGCGAGCAATCACCAAGTAGCAAGTAGCAGTCAGTAAGTGACATTCAGTATGTAAGTTGTAACGTGGTAACCTGCAGCTAGTTTGTAGTAAGTAGCAAGAAGTAAGCGGTGAGCAGCAACTAAGAACAACTCGTGAACAGACTGTGCCCCATCACGGCCATCGCCAGCATGGGCATCTTGATGACTGTCGTCATCAATATCATCATCACGACCGCCTTCATCGCCATTAGCCTTCTCATCATCAGTCATCATCGCCACCACCGTGGTCGTGTACTTGGAGTATCATGCGAGTAGGCAGGGTGATGAGTCATAAGTAATTGCAAACTTAGCTACCTTGCTTGAAACCCAAGTCACACTAAGTAGCATGATCCTTTAAGTAGGGGTATCAAGGGCCTCTTCGCGGGGTGGGCTTCGACTTCCCACGTGCCAGGATCACGCGCACTCCTATGTGCGAAGACCAGGCTTCATGAAGAGATACTCCTCCGTGGTGTCTCTGGCCGAACCTAAGTGGGTGGTTGTCAAAAGCAGGGTCCCTTTTGGGGTACCATAAATATTAGGTGCCGTATTATAAGAGGTACCCAAACAGGGACCATAATTTTGACAACCACCCAAGTGTCTTCGGATTCGGTGTCTTCGGGCCACAGGGTTTAGGGTTGACAGGCTTTGGATTTTGGGGTTGGGGGGTTTCCAGGGTTAGCCGCGACTGGATCACTTTGTGTTTCATCTGTGTGACCTGAAATGCGGCCCGGATTGTCGACAAATTCTATTCCGTTGTGTTCACTTACCGATGTTAAGGTTCGTTTGCGGAACCAAGTCCGCGACGGACACCTAAGCCCTAAACCCCCAAACATATCGGAACTCTGCAAAATCACCGAGGCTCTAGAATTCGGGGCACGTATCCTGCGGGAGGCATACCATTGTGATTATGATCTTTGTCATTGTTATTACTCGTACGAAAATAATTCCTAATATTGCCACGAAATGATTATGATTGTTCGTATCATTGGAAATGAATGTTTTTCAATCATAAGAAGACACCCCAGCGACCGTCTCAACAGAATCTCATAGAAGCCATAGGCAAGTTTTAAGCGCTCAACCCTAAGCCCTAAACCCTATGAGCCCAAAACCCTAAACCCTCAACCCTCAACCCTAAGCCCCAAATCCTAAGCCCATATAGCTCCGTAAGGAACCCTTATAGTACCCTTTTAAAGGAACCCCTAAACCATGAACCCCATAAGCGATCTCGGGCTCGCCCCTGGGTCCTCCGTTCGTCCGTGCTGGGCCTCCCTCAGAGTCGACGAACGTCCTGAACCTTACAGCTGAACCCTAGTATAGGGGCCTTACTTAAAGGATCACCGGACTTAGTAACTAGGGTTATAATTAGGGGAACTATACTTATTACTACTCATAACCCCGATTAACGTACTTATAACCTTACTTACTAAGTCCCATGATCCTCCAAGTAATGGGTTCCTTTTGAATGGGTCTACAAGGGCTACTATAAGGGCTATTAGAAGGACTTAGTAAAGGGGCTTCAAGAATCACCTACACTATCTGGGGTTCCTTATATATTATGATTGTTGTATAACGGGCCCCAGAACCCTGTTCGAATTGTTAAGGCCCCTATATTAGGTGAAACCTTCAAGCTAAACCCTAAACACTATGCCCCAATTAACTTAGATAGTGAATGGGAGAACTTTAAACTTTTTGGCCATGTATATTCGCTCTATCTTAGACAGTTTGAACTTTTTGGGACCCGGTTGTTGAAGAATAGAGTTAAACGTACTGAAGCCTGACGAAAGCCAAGGATCTGGCTCCCCTCTTCCGGGCGCTGAAGCCGGCAAGGTGTCTCTCGCAGGAGAATTCAGCCCCCTAAACCCTAAACCCTAGACCCTAAACGTGCAGCATGCCCTTCTAAGGGTCAAGCGTAGACCTTCTAGCAGCCCTTCCCAGCCCCTGCCCTCGACTTCAGTCTTAAACCCTGATCCAAGCAACAACCCTAAACTCAAAACCCTAAACCCTAGACCCCAAACCCATGCGGTGACCACTACATTTAAAAGCAACGACCCCAAACCCTACACTCTGAACCCCAAGCCCTCAACAACAGGCACCTCTGCAGCCCTCCACGCAGGAGCAGCTGGGAGCCCTCTTCGCCCGCCTGGGCCTGCTCTCCCTCCTAGATTCCAGGAGCTGCCTTTCAGTCTTGCGGCCGTGGCTCCTTGAATCAAAGGGGAAAAGGAGGAGGGACCCTCAACGGGGACGCCTACCCTATCATGGGCTAGAGTATGGGTATATTAAGGGTATATACCCTAGGGGTGCTTATTAAGGGTCCCTTCTTTTATCCTTGGGTTGAAAAGGGGTTTAGGGTTGTAGGGGTTTAGGGTTTACGGTTTAACAATAGTAGTAACAGTTGTAATAGCCATAGTAATATCACAACAGTAATGACAATGGTAATATAGCAGTAGTAAGAACACAATAGTAACGTAACAAAGGAAATGTAACAGTGGTAACATAACAGTAGTAATCGCACAAGCAATAATACCAACAATAACACGAATGCTTAAACCTAATTGCCCTTCTTGCTATATCACCCTGCTCATGACTTTGTTTACCACTATTATGAGATGGGGGGGGAGTTTGGAGTGTCGCGGATGCGGGTTTAGCAGGGTTTATGGTTTTTGAGATTTCCTGGGTTTCTGTTGCAGAGTTGTTTAGTTTAAGATACCGTAATGGAGAAGCCATAACATTTACTATAGATCCTATTATGGTGATTGAAGTCAACTTCCCTAAGCCTTGTAGAACCCTTAGTGGAACCCTAAAGCGTGCTAACTCAAATTCCTTCACAAGAACCCAGTCTAGGCTATGGGGTGTGGCGGTTGAGGTTTGCGCATTATGTGCCCGAGCCCCGAAGCGAGAAGCTGAAAGGTTTAGGGGTTTCGGGTTTAGGGGTTTAGGGGTTTAGGGGTGATGGGTTTAGGGTTTAGGATTTATAAGGCTTGACTCAGGAATCAGGATAGTGACGTGGAGGCGGCGCTGTCGGCACTGGTGGCGTCCACGCCTCAAACGCAACTACCGGCCTCCTTGGCGGCCGACATCACGGGCCTCGCCCACTGGACCCCGCAAGCCAGGCCACCAAATAGTTTTCTGGCTTAGGGCTAAGGGGTTTGGGGTTTAGGAGTTTAGGGGTTGAGGGTGTAGGGGTTTAAGGGTTTAGGGGTTGGGCTTGTACGGTTTATAGGCTTTAGGAACATGAAAAGGGTTGAACCCATCTGAACCTCGGCAGTGATTGGTTTCGATGTCACTAGTTGGTTTACTAGCTTGCATTTCGGATTGGAAGCATATAGCATAATACATCTTAAGATCTAAAGCACTTACAGTAGAATTCGTATCAGTGTTTAAGATACTATTATGCTTAAAAGGATCATGGGACTTAGCAGCTAGGGTTCTCTACTTCTCTACTTCTAACCCGAAATATGGTACTTAGAACCTTACTTCCTAAGTCCCACGATCCCCCAAGTACCCCGCAGTTATCAAACCCCGACCCCAACCTCCAAACCACGGAATCCTAGACTGTGAACCCTGAAGCCTAGGTTGAACCTTACTTACTACGTCCCATTATCCTCCAAGTTACTCTTATACCATTATATTATCTACAATAGATCCCGATTATGTTAGTCTAATTTTTTCTCCTAAACCCTTTTAAACCCTATTAAACCCTAAACCCTAGACTCTAGGGTTTAGGGTTTAGGGTGTAGGGGCCCTAGCCCCCTAAACCCTAAGCGCCCCCATTGGTATATTTTCCGGCAGGCTCCTACTGGCACAGAAGCTCACGCAGGAGAAGCCTCCGGAAGTCCCAGGTGGAGCTGCGAAAACTCGGGGGTACCTTATTTCGGGGTCCTAAAAAAAAGGATCCTACTATTTAGGGTACTATAAGGGTTCCTTTAAAGGGCTCTATAAGGGTATATAGAGTTTCCGATCTTTGGGTCTTAGAATCAGGATCCTACTACTTAGGGTACCAGGTTATAGGGTCCCCTGTTTGCGGAAACGCCCAGGTGGGGCTGTGAACTCCACTTATCTGGAGGCCCTGTCCTGCGGTAGAGGGCTTTTAAAAGAGGGTTCAGAGTTTAGGGTTTTCCCCAGGGGATTAGGGTTTGATTTTTTTAAAGGATTAGGGTTTGGGGCTTTTTTAAATGGGATTAGGGTTTAGCGGTTTTTAAACGCCCTCTGTATTCAGGCCTTGTCCTGGCAGCCTTATGCGGACGTGGAGGCGGAGATCAAGAGGCGCTGCAGCAGCTCCAGCCCCGAAGCCCGGGAAGCCGGGCTACGGGAGTTGATGAAATGCGCGAGCAGAGATCGGGATGCGCCGGTGGCGGTAAGAGACGCCTTGAGTTTCTTCGAAGCTTACCGTTGGTTAGTAGGGAATGGAGGAATGGGGTACAATTATATCTACTGTTACTACCATATTACTACCATATTACTATCATATTACTACCATAAAGCTACTATTACTACCATTCTTCCATTCCCTACTAACCAACGGTAAGGAAGTCCGTCTCCGGAACGAGCAGGACAGTGTACGTGCAGCGGTGCTTGAGCAGATGGCAAAAGCACCGGTGCTCCTCTGGCAAGACATGCACGTCAAGTCCCTGAGACAGTTGCTGGGTTCTTACCATAAGACAGGAACCATATTTTTTTAGTAGAGATCTGTACTATGGTAACTTAAGTTAATTTCCTCAACAAGAACCCAGGTTGCTCACCTCCTCCATGCAGGCCAAAGGCAGTAGCTCGGAGTCTCTGGAGGTCTGGCGGCAGCTGGTCCAGGTTTTCGTGGCCAACGGCGCAGCCTTGCGAACTGAATTCGGGCTCGGCCCATGTGGAGCCTTTGGAATGGAAGTGAGGGCGCAGATGACTGCGGCCGATCTTTGGGACAAGGACGATGCAGACTTTGGAACCGGTGTCCTCAGTCAAGTAGCACGGCTGGAGCCGCAACAGGCCTTCGTGGCTTTTCCGTGGCTTGTGGATTTCCTGCGCCCCAGCATCCGGGCTTTGCTGGACTCGGGAAAGGTGGACAAGGCAGGCCCTCACCTTCGTCTTCAAGCTCTCGGACCCCAGACGCGGCAAACTCAAAACCTGTGCTTTGCCGTAATATAGGAGCCTGAAGAATTGCCTGTAATATTTTGGGGTTCTTTACTACAATCATAGTCTCATGGGCCCCAAAACCCTATTCCACTTATTCAGGCACCTTTTTTAAGTGCTGAACAGGCTTCATTGCCCCGGTGAATCCGGCAGAGTCGCCCCTAAGCCCGATAGCTTCCGTCCGCCTACGAGAGCCCACTGCACCCCTCAGTTGAGGAATGTATCTTACATCTTAGTTTGAAGCCCCATATATAGTTGAAAGTAACTATCTACCTTTCTACCTTTCTACCCATGCTTCTCTATCTCTGTCCCTTCGTATTTTCAGTAACGGGGTGTCTTGGGCTTCCCGGGCAGGCGTGCGCGCTGCTGGCTCGCTGGGAGGGCACGCGCCTAGAGCTCCTCCAACGCATGCCCGACATCCCCGACGCCTGTGCCAGGGCGGCAGTCAAAGATAGCTGGGAGCTTCCGAAAATAGGGGACCTTAATATGGTACCCTAAATAAAAGGATCCTCATTATCAGGACCCCCAACTAAGGTACCCCTAATTTTCGGAAACTCCCAGCCGTGGATCCCAAACCCAGCCGTTGTAAACGAGCGGCAGCCCTGGCAGAACCCCCGGGCTGAATATAGGGGCCTTAAAAAAATTATAGAATAGGGGGATAATAACACCGTAATTATGGAAAGGAGCCCGAAACCCTATTCTAATATGGATCCCTTATAGTAGCCCTTATAGAACCCTTTAAGGAACCCTATTTTGATTATTAAGGCCCCTACATTAGCGTTCACTTCGAGGTGCAGCTTTCGACGTCTTGCTGCGCGAGACCTTCGCGACTGCCATCCAGGCCAATGGAGGGAATTCCAAAAGGGGTAGTTTGGGGTTTAGTGTTTGGGGTTGAGGGGTTCGGAGGGGTTCAGGGGTTTAGGGGTTTAGGGATTTAAGGATTTAGGGCTTTAGGGTTTTAGGGTTTAGGGTTTTTTGGGTGGTTGGGGGTCGGGTTCACAGCTTCGTGTGTTGAGGGTCTGCGGTCCTTTGGCGTTGTTGTTTGGTTGGTCGTGGACAGTTTCGGACTGCGTGGCCACATTAAAGGGTTCTATAAGGGCTACTATAAGGGATCCATATTAGAATAGGGTTTGGGGGTTTTACGGTTTAGGGTGTCATCTTCCGATTTCAGGCTGCAGAAGCGCAAGAGCCCAAAGCCCTGATGTGTAGCCCTGATTAGTAAAATCCCTGTCCTTCAGGCTCTTCGGGACCTTCATCGCATTGAGGGATCGGGCTCAGGCTACCATAAAACGTGGTATACCAAGCCGCCGAAACACCACTAAAACCTTGAACCCAATGCCATCATAAACCTCTAAACCCTAAAACCTAAACCCGAAGCCCCTGATGGCCTTGAAGTGTGCCTATTACCTGGCAGGCATCAAAAAGGAGCTTTAAAAAAACCTAAACCCTAAGCCCTAAACCCTTAACCCTTAAACCCCTAACCTCTAAACCCCACCATAAACCCTAAACCCTAAACCCTATAAGCCCCTCAAGATCACACCTTGCGCCAGGAGAGCCGCAGCTTCAACCCCTCGGTGGCCAAGGCTGCCCAGGAAGCTCTTCGGGCTTTGCTCCCGGGCCGAACCCTAAACCCTAAACCCTAAACTGCATCTTAAAAAAAAACAAACCCTAAACCCTAGGTAGTATTATTAGGGAGACCCCTTAAAGGGTACCCCTTCTGAACCCTACTTCTGGCTCTCTTAAAAGGGGCCTTATTGAGAGGGCCTATATCCCCAAGGTCCCCCTAATCCTAACTCCCAAACCCTAAACCCTAAACTGGAGCGAGCCGCGGGCGCTGCCTTGGCCAGCGGCCCGAGCGAGCAGGCGTGAGCCTTGCAAGGGCGAGGGGCCGGAGCGCGCGATGAGCGCGGCCCACGCATGGAAGGTCGAACCCGCGTGCAAGCGACAGGCTGGCTGCAAAGAGAATTACCTTAAACCTTACGTTTTAAAACCTTGACCTTAACCATTTGAGGGTTCCACTAAGGGTTCCATTTAGGATTTCCTTCGTTTAGGGTTCCGTTTAGGGTTCCGTTCAAGGTTCCTTTTAGGGTTCCGTTTAGGATTTCTTGAGTTTAGGGTTCCGTTTAGTGTAGGGTTCCTTTTAGGATTCTCGTTTAGGGTTCCGTTTAGGGTTCCCTTTAGGATGGGTTCCGAGGATTCTTTTTAGGATTCCCTCCAGCCCCACCAGAGCACCCCCGCCAGAGCCAGAGCCCCCACCAGAGCACCAGCATGGCATTACCCCCCCCCCCAGGCCCCCACCAGAGCACCCCACCAGAGCACCCCCCACCAAAGCACACCCCACCAGAGCACCCAGCAGAGCACCGGCCTTTCAGAGCCCCACCAGAGCACCCCCACCAGAGCACTCAGCACCAGCCGGCCCCCGCCAAAGCCGGAGGGATAAACCGAGATTTTGGGTGGGCATTTTTGACCTTTTTGTTTCTCTTCATAAAATGTGCATTTTCATTACGGCCCGGTGCCAAAGTCGAGGTCCCCTCCTTTCTTTGTGTGGGCCTAGTCTGAAGATCGAATGAGTTTAGGTGCTAAACCCTAAAAGGAATAGGTTTGGGTGGTTTGGCCGCCTTAGACGGCGTGGGGTGGGAGAGTTAAAAGAAAGAGCCATCCACCATCAGGCTCCAACAGCCAATCGTCATATCACGACGCACTCGAAAAGTCACTGTCGCAAGCTACTTCCGCTTCTGCGCCACTCTGCGGCAAACCCTAAACCCTAAACCTTAAACCCTAAACCCTAAACCATCCTAAACCCTAAACCCTAAAGGAGTTTAGGGTTGGGGTTTAGGCTTAGGGTTTAGGGTGTAGAGGGATGGTTTACGCTCAGGGTTAAGAGTTTGGGGTGTGGTGCCATGCTTTAGGCTTGTTGCAAAGCGTTTAGGGGGCCTTCTTAGTCTTTGTGACTTTGTTTTCTGAAGGGCTTCATACCCTTAATATAGCTATTATATACCCATTATATAGCCCACTATTCCGCATTAAGGGTCCCTCCTTTTTTATAGAGATGGGGCTCTGCGCCTGTTCTGGCGGAGCAGCTGACGATTTCAGTTTAGAGTGTAGATGGATCTAGGCGGTAGGGCGGTAGGTGTGTCTCGTAGGCCCCGGTAGACGAAGTGGGCACCGAGGCTTCTGCCGAGCAGCTATGCACCGAGGCTTCTGCCAAGCAGCTACACCCAGCTGAGCAACTCCAAGGGCCTGACGTGGGCACAGGAGCGCTTCTGGGGGGGGCCCTTTGTTGGGATGTGCTTTAGGTCCCCTAATATGGCTTGTCATTGTAGTTACCTTACTTGTAGTTACCGTACTTATTAGGTACGGCCCCCACTCAGTAATAGTTGAATAATATTCATAATATAGATATAGGAGGACCTTAATAGTAGCCCTGTTATGGACTCTTACTGTATGGGGGCCGTACCTAACGTACTTATAACTACCCCTGAACCTCTTCGGGAGGGGGGGAGCGCCGTAATTATTTGGAGGGTCAAGGGACTTAGTATCTGGTTATTTTATGGACTTATAAGTACCATAACCCCAATTAGGGTCCCTTTTAGGGTACTTATAAGTCTACTTACTACCTACTTACTAAGTCCCCCGACCCTCCAAGTATTCAACAAAAGGAGAAGGCGGTGCGCCGCCTTTGCCAACTCTCCAGCTCCTGGTGGCAGAGCTTGCTCCTTTGTCATAGTTGGGTAACATTTTAAATTTTTATGGGTACCTGAAACCCAATAAGGAATACAGATTTAAATTTTTGATCCTAAACCCAAAACCCAAAACCTTAAAACCCTAAACCCTAAAACCCTAAAACTCAAAACCCTAAAACCCTAAGCCCTAAAACCCCAAAACCCTAAAGCCCTAGGCTCGGCCGCATCAACTCAGAGCTCCCCTGGCACGCGACCCTGGCCTTGGAGTTTCTCGGATCTGCGGAGCCTCGGCATCTGCTGCGGCAACCGGCCCTCTTCGATGAGCTGGTCCAGGCACTCAAAGGGCAGGGTTTAGGGTTTAGGGTTTTTGGAGTCCGAAAGGGCAGGGTGGGGCATGCTCTGTCTTATACGGCCTGGGGCTTGAAGATGCTTTTAGGGTATGTTCTTTTCTCGGCAGCCCTCGCAGACTCATAAAACATCATGACAGCGGCGAAGTCTTGCGAAGTAGTTCGCTGATTTTCTTTGCTCGAGGCGCTCTGCACAAACTGGGACATGCTGGCGGAGTGGCAGAGAGCTCAATTCGCTGCAGAAGTAGTGCAGCGCCTGGACAGTGCATGTCGATCCATGGAGATGTGCTTACGCTTGGCACCTTTGCTGCAGCGACTCTGCGATTGGCCATTCTCGCTGGCACTTGGTGAGCCGGGCACGGAGAAGTTCAGCAAAAGCGTAGGTGAAGTCGGATACTGGGTTCTTGTTAAGAGCCCTTATAGATCCTTTAAAGGAACCTTTATAGATCCCTTAAAGGAACCCTTATAGATCCCTTAAACGAACCCTTATAGGTCCTTTAAAGGAACCTTTATAGATCTTTAAAAAAACCTTTATGGATCCTTTAAAATAGCCCGTATAGATCCTTTACAGGAGCCCTTTGAGGTCCTGTAAAGGAACCCCTATAGATCCTTCAAAGGAACCCTTAGAGGTCCTTTAAAGGAACCACTATAGGGAGGAACACTTATAGATCCTTTAAAGGAACCCTTATAGGTCCTTTAAAGGAACCCTTTTCTAGGTCCTTTAAAGGAACCCGGTCCCTATGATGACAAGAGCCCAGGATACAACATTCGGCTGCGGTGCCAGGCAGAGGCGGCTAGGCCGCACGGAAAAGCCCAGTTCTTGTTGGGCTTAGGTGTTGAGGGTTTAGGGTTGAGGGTTTATGGGGTTTATAGGGTTTAGGGTTTAGGGCCTAGACCGTTGAACTCTCGATCCTGATGCCCTGGACCCTGAACGCCGTGTGCAAAAAGATGGTGGGGGAGTACATGAAAGTAACCATAATAGGAGCTTCTTTTAACTGATATGGTTTCCTTATTCTGGTAACTTAAGCTAAGTTCCTTAACAAGAACCCAGGAACCCGAAACCCTAAACCCTATAAGCACCAAAAACCCTATGAACCCGACAACCCTCACTCAGGAGATGCTGGCACGCCACAAGCCCCTCAAGGCGTCCTTCCTCGAAGGCTGGCGGCGACAGGATGCCTCGCTGAAAGCGGAGCGTCTCTGCACCTCCGCCGTGCTCCTCCGGGCGGTGTAGCTTGGGCCCACTTCGTATAGGGGCCTTAATGGGTTCCTTTACAGGGTCTATAAGGGATACTATAAGGGCTCTTCTTTGGGATGTAGCATGGGGGCCTTGTGGGGATTCCTTATCGTAGGGTTTAGGGTTTAGGGTTTAGGGGTTTAGGGGTTAAGGGGTTTAGGGGTTTAGGGTTTAGGGCTTAGGGTTACTAGAATCTATAGTATTATGGACCCCAAAACCCTGTTCTGTTATTAGGGCTGGCGTCCGGTCAGTGCAGGATCCCTCACCTCAGAAAAGGCAGGGTGTACTGCTTGGAGGGTCGGGGGACTTAGTAGGTAGTAAGTAGACTTATAAGTACCCTAAAGGGGACCCTAATTGGGGTTATGGTACTTATAAGTCCATAAAATAACCAGATACTAAGTCCCCCGACCTTCCAAGTGAGTACTGAGCTGTCATTCCTCCCCACGCGTCTCAGCTTCATTGCGAAGCACAAGATCCCGACATGACACTTATGCTGCCACTATAGGGGCCTAAATATATAATTACCAATGCTATTTTTTTTGGGGGGGGGGGGTTCCATATGACATTGATGGTATGATGGACCCCAAAACTCTATTAACAATTGTAAGGCCCCGATAATACAGTTTGAGTTTCCATCTTGCCCGGTTTTCGACCTGTTGAACTGGGTTCGGTTTTCGGGCTCCGGTTCATTAAAGCTCCAAAACCCTACTGGGAGGGGCAGGAGACCTAGTAAGTCGTTTCTAAGTAAGGTCATAATTGGGGTAGCTCCATGAAGGATACCTATAACTCCTCTTATATCCTACTTACTAAGTCCCCCGCCCCCTCCAAGTAAACATCATGAAGGTAAGATATTATAGAAATCAAGGTAATAGAGGGTATAATTGTAATAAATATAATATTAAACATCGCTAAGCCCTCAACTTCGCCGAGGCAGCAGAAGCCGGAGGCGATCCAGTTGCTGGGTTCTGGTTAAGACTTCTTAAGTTGATTTATTAGGATGGTTGTCAAAATCATGGTCCCTTTTTGGGTCCCTAGTATAGTACGGCACCTTATATTTAGGGCACCCAAAAAGGGACCATGATTTTGACAATCACCCTTATAAGTAAGGCAACTGTAGGGGACTTATAACTCCCCTTATAACTACCCTAAGCCCTAAACCCTATAAATCCCTTTTCGGAGTGTCTATAGTAACTACTTTAGTGCTCTTAGGTAGCAGTTTACATGTTCCATAGCGCTCCACCATTTTTTGTTGGTGCTAAGGGCGCTTGGTAGGCTCTTCTTATTATGGTACCTTAACCCTAAACCCTAAACCCTAAACCCTAAACCCTAAACCCTAAACCCTAAACCCTAAAATAGGTTCTTTAACCAGAGCTGAGGTTGCTGGTCGGCTTGGAAAGCAGCAAGCTGCAACAACTCCGGCTCCTGCAAGCAAGCGGCGCCCAACCTCTGCACTTTTTTGGGCAGGAGTGGACGAGCAACCGAGGCGAGTTAGGGTTTAAGGTCTAGGGTTTAGGGTTCAGGGTTTAGGATTAAGGGTTTAGGGTTTGGGGTTTAGGGTTTAGGGTTCAGGGTTTAGGGTTCGGGGTTTGGGGTTTACTTGGAGGTTCATGTGCCCTAATATGGGTTAGTTACCTTACTTGTCACCCCCCCTGAACCTCCAAGCAGGGGTCTGTCCGAGATGGGATAGCCTACCCCTAAGCCCTGTCCGAGACAGGATAGCCTGCCCCAAAACCCTAAACCCTATAAACCCTACAAACCCTAAGGCTTATAAACCCTATAAACATAAACCCTAAACCCCTATAAACCCTATCAGCCCTAAGCCTTATAAGCTGTCTAAACCCTAAACCGTATGAGCCCTAAGCCCTAAGCCCCTAAGCCCTACAAACCCTAAACCCTGAATAGCCCTAAACCCTGAACCCTATAAACCCTATAAACCATATAAATTTATAAACCCGATAAACCCTATAAGCCCTAAACCCTAAACCCTACAAGCCCTAAACTCTAAACCCCCTAAACCCCAAAACCCTAAATAGACTTAAACCCTAAACCCTACAAACCCTATAAACCCTAAAGTAGCCCTAAACCCTAAATCCTACAAGCCCTATAAACCCTAAGTAGCGGGTAGGGGTCCCCATTAAGGGTCCCTCCTATTCCCCTTTGAACCCTCCAGGTCCTCGGCCCTTTTTCTCCTGGCCCGCAGCGCTGCAGCGCTCCTTCGCCGACGCGTGGCTGGCCTTGGAACCATTGGGGCTCCAGGATTTCATGGCTGGCTCGGAAGGTGGGCGCCGTTTGGGGCTCAGGGTTTGGGGTTCCTTTAAAGGGGTCTACGGTGGGAGTTTCCGAAAATACGGGTATTAGGGTTTAGGGTGAAAGGTGGGAGTTTCCGAAACAAAGGGGTGCTTTAGGGTTCCTTTAAAGGGCTACCATAAGGTTTGGAGGGCTCTATAAAAGTGTAGAGTTTCCGAAAAGAAGGGTACTACAACACATTACAATACCCTTCCTTCAAAGGGCTCTATAAGGGTTCAGAGTTTCCGAAACTTAGGAGTCCCTTATTCTGGGGTCCTTATCATAAGGATCCTACGATTTACGGTGCTGGATCAGGGTCTCCTATTTTCGGAAATCCCTAAACCTTCAACCCCTTATAGAACCCTTATAGATCCCTTATAGGAGCCCTTAAAGGGTCCCCTATTTTCGGAAACTTCCTAAACCCTAAGCCCCTTATAGAACCCTTATAGATCCCCTCCCCAGGTGGGGCCTTAAACCCTAAACCCTTAACCCTAGACCCTATTTTCGGAAATCCCCAGGTGGGTCCCAGGTCAGGGAGAAATGCCGCCTGCGGCTGGCTCTGCCGGCCCTGCGCTGCGAGGGGGAGCTGGGCCGCGTGGTGGAGGCCTGCGTGGAGGTTTTGAAGCTGGGCTCCTTTAAGGGATCTACAAGGGCTCCTTTAAGGGATCTCTAAGGGCTGCTTTAAGGGATCTACGGGGGCTCCTTTCAGGGATCCCTAAGGGCTGCTTTAAGGGATCTACAAGGGCTCCTGCGTGGAGGTTTTGAAGCTGGGCTCTTCTTCAGGGGTTTATAGTTCCTTAATATAGAAGGAATGCTTTTTTTCGTCCTTATTATGGTAATTTAAATTAATTAAAGGAACCTTTATAGATCCCTATGATGGTAACTTGAACTAAATCTCTTAACAAGAACCCTTATAGACCCTTTAAAGAGATCCTTATAGATCCTTTGAAGAAGCTCCTTATAGATCCTTTAAAAGAGCCCTTGTAGATCCCTAACATTCCTTTAAAGGAACCCCTATAGATCCTGTAAAAGAACCCCTACTTGGAGGATCATGGGACATGGTAAGTAATGTTATAAGTACCTTAATTAGGGTTATAAGTAGTTACAAGTATAGTTACCCTGATTATAACCCCAGTTACTAAGTCCCCTGATCCTTTAAGTAGGCCCTAAATCCTAAACCCCATACATCCCTTTAAGGAACCCTATATCCCTTTAAAGGAGCCCGTAGAGATCCCTTTTGCCACATGAGCCCAGGAAGTCCGAGGCGGCGGAGGACAGCACCGCCCTGGCAGTGGCTCGGGGCCGGGCGGGTCAGCTACTGGGCTCCTTTAAAGGGAGGATCTAAGGATCTCTAAGGGCTCCTTTAAGGGATCTCTCAGGGCTGCTTTAAGGGATCTCTAAAGGTTCCTTTAAAGGACCTATAAGGGTTCGTTTAAGGGATCTCTAAAGGTTCCTTTAAAGGACCTATAAGGGTTCGTTTAAGGGATCTCTAAGGGCTCCTTTAAGGGATCTCTCAGGGCTGCTTTAAGGGATCTCTAAAGGTTCCTTTAAAGGACCTATAAGGGTTCGTTTAAGGGATCTCTAAAGGTTCCTTTAAAGGACCTACAGTAGAAGCCAAAAAGTTGGAAACCCGACAGCCTCAATCCCTAAGAGTAAAGTATAGGGAATCCCAGCACCATTTGTCCTTAATTCGGTTTCCAACTTTTTGGAGTTTGCTGTATAAGGGTTCGTTTAAGGGATCTCTAAGGGCTCCTTTAAGGGATCTCTCAGGGCTGCTTTAAGGGATCTCTAAAGGTTCCTTTAAAGGACCTATAAGGGTTCGTTTAAGGGATCTCTAAAGGTTCCTTTAAAGAACCTATAAGGGTTCGTTTAAGGGATCTCTAAGGGCTCCTTTAAGGGATCTCTCAGGGCTGCTTTAAGGGATCTCTAAAGGTTCCTTTAAAGGACCTATAAGGGTTCGTTTAAGGGATCTCTAAAGGTTCCTTTAAAGGACCTATAAGGGTTCGTTTAAGGGATCTCTAAGGGCTCCTTTAAGGGATCTCTCAGGGCTGCTTTAAGGGATCTCTAAAAGGTTCCTTTAAAGGACCTATAAGGGTTCGTTTAAGGGATCTCTAAAGGTTCCTTTAAAGGACCTATAAGGGTTCGTTTAAGGGATCTCTAAAGGTTCCTTTAAAGGACCTATAAGGGTTCGTTTAAGGGATCTCTAAGGGCTCCTTTAAGGGATCTCTAAGGGCTCCTTTAAGGGATCTCTCAGGGCTGCTTTGAAGGATCTATGAGGATCTCTTTAAAGGATCTATAAGGGTTGCTTTCAGGGTTCTGCAAGGGTTCTCCTGTTAAGGGAGAGTTAGTGTAAGTTACCATAATTTAGGGTTCCATGAAGTGTTTTAGAAGGGTTTAAGGGTTAAGGAATTTAGGGTCAGTTGCCATAACAGGGAAACCATATTCTCTAGAGTATTTACTTTAGGTTCCTATTATGGTTACTTAGGGTTCCATAAAGGGTTCTATCAAGGTTTGGGGGGTTAGAGGATTTAGTTTAAGTTACCATATGAAGAAACACATATTATTTACTTTACGTCCCTATTCTGGTTACTTACAAAGAGCTCAGGCTTTTGGACCGGCTGATCCCGCTTTTGGCTCGCGCCGACCGAGCCAAAGAGCTGGCGCCGCTGCTCTCGGCGCAGCTTGGCCAAGGCAACTCCAAGCAGGCTGGGTGTAAGGTTATAAGTACCTTAGTTGGGGTTATAAGTGGTTATAAGTATAGTTACCCTAATTATAACCCGAGTTACTAGGTCCCATGATCCTTTAAGTAGTTCTGAAAACTCAGTGCTTTCTGGGGTCTCTAAATAAAGTACGGCAGTCTTATGAAAATAAGCACCCAAACAGGGGCCCCCCAAAAAAAGGAGAGTTGCCCAGGTGGCTCGCAGCTTCCAGGTCCTTTTGCGGAGGCTCGGCAGCAGGGACGCCTCGGCCACGCTGGAAGCGGCTTTTCGGAGCCCCTTGAAGCTTTGTCATAGTTGGGTAACATTTTACATTTTTATGGGTACTTAAACCCAATAAGGAATAAAAATGTACATTTCTATTCTTATCCCAACAATGAACTAGGAAAGTGGCGGAGCGCGTGGCGCTGCTCCGGGATTCGAGCGAGCATGGCCTCTTCAACCGCCCGGATCCCGACTTCGTCGCCCTCATGGAGTCCCTCTACGAGAGCCACCGTGACGTGGGTGGAGCCGTCCTGGTAGCGCTCTGCAGGATGGGCCAGACGTCCCTTCTGACACGCGTGAGCCAAGAGGAAAGTTCGCTGTACCAGCTCCAAATCCTTCTCCGCCAGCCTCCTCGTAGCTGAGTGGATACACTTTACACCTCTTGGGATCATATCACCCACTATAAAACTGAATTTGTAAGCATTTGGGGGCTTAGGAACTCAGCAACTCAGGCTTTCTTCTCCCGCTTCGGACCTTTGGAGGGATGAGGTGGCGGGCATCCTGGCGACACTCTGCCAGAGGCCTGACGTGGGAGACCAGTGTCTCTAGGTAGGGCTTTGGGACATTTCATATTTCCCCTTATTGGGCTTAAGAGGATCTTATTTACTAATATTTTTCAAAGGCCTTAGAAGCCCCACCTAGGTCTGCGGTGTCTCTCGGATTGGGCGCTATCCGAAGGCGCCCACGATGCAAGCACCGTGGCGGCAGTTGCAAGCGCGGCCTGCGAAGCCTTGACCTCAAAAACCGAGAGCTTCTTGGTCATATTTGGGTCACATTTTACTTTTTTATGGGCACTTAAACCCAATAAGGAATATGTAAATGTACATTCTTTTATCCTATTCCAACCCATGAACTAGGCTTATGGCTACCGGCCGCCAGATGCCTGGTCTGTCTCGGTCACCTGGACTCCGGCCCGCTGGTCACCCTCTTCCGCCAGCTCTGCGCCGACTGTGACGATAAGGGCGCGGATCTGCTTCAGGCTCCAACCCGCAACCCTGAACCCCCTGGACCCAAAACCCAAACCTTAAGGCTAACCCCAAACCCAAGCCCTCGGGATCCAAAAACCCTAAGCCCTCAGGACCCAAAAACCCCAAACCCTAAGCCCGAAACCCCTGGACAGGCCTCAACCCGGCTCCCAAAACCCGAAACCTTCTCAGGAACCTTTAGAGGCGCCCTTTGTTTAAGAAAAACCCTTGAATCCCGGCTCAGGATCCTCACAAACCAGCTCTCAAAGCCCAAAACCCGGGACCCAAAACCCTAAAACCCCTGAGGAGTTGCCTCAAAACCCTAAACCCTCAGAGGAACCCTTCAGGGAGCCCTTAAAGGAGCCCTTTCCTTAAAAACCCCTAAACCCTAAACCCCAAACCCTAGACCCTAATCCCTCTTAGAAACCCTTATAGAGCCCCTTTAAAGGAACCCTAATCCCTTTTAGAAACCCTTATAGAGCCCCTTTAATAGTACCCTAAACCCCAAAACCCCCCCCTGGACAGGTTTCTGCCCGGCTCAGGGTCCTCACGAACCAGCTCTCAAGCCACCGCGAGGATTGGGTTCCTTTTAAGGGGCTCTATAAGGGTTTCTAAGAGGGATTAGGGTTCCTTTAAAGGGGCTCTATAAGGGTTTCTAAGAGGGATTAGGGTTTAGGGTTTGGGGTTTAGGGTTTAGGGTACTATGATATAGCCATAACAAGTCGAATGAGGCGTCGGAGGCCACGTTGCTGGCGGCCGCGGCGGCGGCTTTCCAGGCACCTTCGGTGCTTCTGGGCTCCTGTTAAGGAAGCTCATGCGAGTTACCATAATATAGGGTTCCCTTAAGGGATCTATAAGGGATCCTTGAAGGGTTTCTTTATGGGTTTGGGGTTTAGTTTAAGTTACCATAATATAGGTTTCCATTAAGGGTTCTATAGGGTTTAGGGGTTAACGGATTTGTTTTAAGTAACCGTAACAGGGACTTGTCGTAAATAATTTTTTTCCCTTGTCATGACACTGTAACTTAAACCCCTTAAGGGGTTGATTGTGTTATAAATTAAGTAACCGCAACAGGGACTTATCGTAAATATTTTGGTTTCCTCATCATGGCACCTTAGCTTAAACCCTTAACAAGAACTCAGGCTTGCGCAGCGCGCCGGCGTGGAGCTCTGGGCCGTGCGCCTTCACTGGAAGGAGCCTGGGAAGGTTTTGGAGGCTTTGCAATTGCTCCCTTCGCTGGACCGAATCCGGGTTCTTGTTAAGGAATTGAGTTTAAGGTACCTTAAGTAGGAAACCAGATTATTTACTATAAGTCCCTATTATGGTGATGTAAATTCAATCACTTGAGAAGAACCCAGGAATCCTCCTCCCCGTGCTGCTCTTCCACTGCTCCGCCTCGCTGAAGTCGCAGCAGCCGCAAGGTTCTCTGCGTGAGACGGCTCGGGTTCTGCTAGAAGCTGAGACAGAGCCGGCTCTGGTGATGCTCATGGCCGTGGTGAAGCTGGGTTCTTGTTAAGGAATGTAAGTTGCCATAAGGAAACCTTAGTATTTCCTGTAGATCCCTGTTAGGGTAGTAGCCTACAGTAAGTTCCACCACGAGAGCCCAGGAAGTTCCTCTTCTCTGGCAGTTGGCCGGGTTCCACTAAAGTTACGGCGTGGGCCACCGGTCGGAATACCTCTTTGATTTCTTGTTTGTTGCTGCTATTAGCTGAGTTCTATTGGGGTTTGTTAGTTGGTTAGGTAGGTAGGTAGGTGGGTACGTAGGCAGTTAGCTAGCTAGTTAGTTCGTTCCTTCGTTCGTTTGTCAGTTAGTCAGTTCGTTATATATGTATATACACACACATACACACATACATATATATCTATATACACACAAGCATATATATATATATATATATGCACATGTATATATGATACAGATGTGGTGATCCGAGTATCTGTATGTGTCGTGGGGTAGAATGCAGGCTTTCGACTTTAGGTTCTTTCGGCTAGTGTTTCCTGCGTTCTCGCTCCGTGACAGCACTGCGCGAACTTACTCAGCCCTAAACCCTAAACCCCTAAACCCTCCCTAAACCCTAAACCCTTAAACCCTAAACCCTAAACCCTAAACCCCAAACCCTTAAACCCCTAAACCCTAAACCCCTGAACCCTAAGCCCCTAAACCCTGAAGCCTGGTTGCGTTGTTGTGTCCCTGCAGCTGCCAAGTCTTGGGGTTCATCCCTCAATTGCGCACAAACCCTACGCCCACCCTAAACCCTAAACCCTAAACCCCTAAACCCTAAACCCTAAACCCTAAACCCTAAACCCTAAACCCCTAAACCCCTAAACCCTAAACCCCTAAACCCCTAAACCCCTAAACCCTAAACCCCTAAACCCTAAACCCCTAAACCCTAACTAAACCCTAAACCCTAAACCCCTAAACCCTAAACCCTAAACCCTAAACCCCTAAACCCTAAACCCTAAACCCCTAAACCCCTAAACCCTAAACCCTAAACCCTAAACCCCTAAACCCTAAACCCTCAACCCCACCGCCCCGAACCCAAAGCGCTAAAAACCCTCAACCCTCAACCCTACAGTCCTAAAGCCTATACCCTAAACTCTCAAAAGCCCGAAAGCCCTACAGCCTATAGATCCCTTAAAAAAGGAGCCCTTCAGACCCTGAAGCCCTCTTAGAAAAAAGCCTTACAGCCCGAGGCCACCGAGGGGGAGACCGTTGAACAACGTACGGCAGCCGAGTTTCTGCAGGCGCTTCTGTCTGGTTTCGGTTTTGGGTTCCTTTAAGGGTTCCTTTAAGGGTTACTTTGAGGGTTACTATAGGGGTTACACTATCGTGGTTTGGGGTTCTGGGCGTATACTGTCTGGTTGTTAGTAGGGAATGGGGGAATGGGTTATGGGGACTATTATTGGGGATTGTACAGGGACTACTATAGGGATCAGTTCCCCCATTTCCTGTTAAACTCCAGACAGTCTTGGTTTGGGGTTTAGGGCGTTTAGGGGTTCGGGTTTGGCACGTTTAGGGGTTTGGGTTTGGGGCATTTAGAGCTTCGGGGTTTGGGGCACTCCGGGGTTTGGGGGTTTAGGGCGTTTAGGGTTTAGGGGCCCCCGACCTTCAGTACTTACTACCGATTTTCGCCTTACAGATATAGAGTACGCCGACGATACAGTTTTATTATCTCGCACGAGACTGTCCCTACACCGTTTTCTTCACACATTACAGGCCCACTCTTACAAAAGGGGCATGTCCTTGAATCACGAGAAGTGCCAGCTTCTCTGTATCAACACTGATTTGCCCGTATACCTAACCGATACCACAACCCACCCTTGCCAATGTGACTTCTGTTGCATGAGAAGCAACCCACAGCTACCCCAAGAACTCCGCATAGATCCTAAACCCCACGCCGATTACTTAGGAGCTGTTCTAACTCATAACTCAGCCGCCAAAGCGGACGCTAAAAAGCGATATGCGCAGGCCTCGCACGCGGCCAAATGTCTACATGACTTCTTTAGGCACCCCTCCATAACCATTAAGCGAAAGCTGCTAGTTCACTCCCAGATCGTGTTGGCCATCCTTCTGTATGGCTCGGAATCGCAGATGTATCTACAACCTGACCTCACTAAACTGAACAAGCTACACTACAAGGTCCTTAGACAGATCTTCAACATCAAAAGTTCCTTTTATCATAAAGTCTTGGAACCATCGGAGGCAGAATGCTCCAACGAATATTTATCCCAGCTTGCCTATGAGTACGCCCCCAAACTTCTATCTCCATCACAGAATATCATTTCATCCCGGATCTCTTATCTCGGACATATCCTCAGACATGAAGATTCAATCGAACACATCTCCACCTACCAAACAGCACATGCCTACAGACGCCTCCATAGGAAAAGACCTGGCCACCCTCGCATACATTGGGCCGAATTGACCATGACGCAAGCGTACCAACGCTATCAAATACTTTCCTCGAATTCCCCTATTCCCCGCCCCTACCAAATACACCACGATATCTATCACCATCCTACAGAAAGAGAGGTGGCTGCTGCCCATTCCAGATTTTTTGGTAATACTGACCTTTGGAGGACCCTACAGCCGTTAGCTCAAAACCGTAGATCCTGGGCTCAGTTAGAAGTTTTGCGTTAATCAGCTGAAAGGGCTGCTGACGAGTAGTCTCACTTGTGGACTTGCTCTGCGCGACTGAGAGAGAGAGAGGGCGTTTAGGGTTTCGGTTTCGGGATGTAAGATCCAAGGGTAAAAGGAGGGACCCTGAATAAGGACCCCTAGGTATATACCCTTAATATAGCTATTATATACCCATTATATAGCCCATTATAGGGTAGGGGTCCCCATTACGGGCCCCTCCTTTTCCCTTTTGAGCTTCCTCAGGCGCTTGTTCCCCGGTGCCGCGCCTCGGACAGCTTGCAGCTGCTGGAAAACGACTTGCGTCGTGAGCGATCAGACTGTGTTGTAGCGTAAATAAGGTACCCATACTCAGAGTTACGTTCCTTAAAGGGGCTCCTTAAAAAGGGATCTGTAAGGTTTCTGTAAGGGGATCTAGGGGTACGTAAAGGATCATGGGACTTAGTAACTAGGGTTATAATTAGAGTAGCTATACTTATAACTACTTATAACCCCAATTAAGGTACTTATAACCTTACTAAGTCCCATGATCCTCCAAGTAAGGTACCCATACTCAGAGTTAGGCATATCCCCACCTGAGGTAAATTACCTCACTTACGAGTCCCATGATCCTCCAAGTAGGTAAGGTTGCCGAGCTAGGGAATGGACTTAGGGGCCAAGCTTTCGAGCGGGTACAGAGCAGCCGCGAAAAAGGTGGCGCTTGAAGGTGGCCCCATTACCATGCTTGCAGCCCGTACAGATGCCCGATGAAGGG